GCCTGCTGGTGGCCAGCGGCTGCAGGAGGAGAAAAGGAGCCCAGGAGAGGCCAGGGACACCCTTGTCCTTGTCCTCCACTCCCTGGGGCCCCAGCGGGACAGTGGCTGCCAGGACCTTGCCACCGTGCTCTGCCCACCAGTCCCTGTGCTGCCCCAAATCTCACCTGCAGCCCCCCAAAAGCATCCAGGTGTGAGCAGGGCTGCTGTGCTCAGGGCATGCCACTCCCGTGGGGCAGGACATCATGGTCCTGCTCCCCTCGCCCAGACAGGGTGTGGAAAGCAGCAGCCGAGCAGGGATGGTGAACTTGATCGGAAGTTCATCCAATTAAAACAAACCCAGGGAATTAATTGCCGAGCTGCCTGTGTGGGGGGGTCTCCAAAGCTGGCCAGCTCTTCCCCAGGGAGGGACAGGTTTAATGAGCCCTTGTCCGACCTCCCTCATCCACTGCTAATTGCCCAGCCCGCTCAGCTCAGGGGCACGCAGACCCCAGCCAGTGGCAACCGACGGGCTGCCAGCAGTGCCGGGTCCATTCTCACCCTGGCAGCAAGGCCACTGTGCCAACGGTGACATCGCTCATGGGTCCTTCTCCCCACCCAGGATCAGCCTCAGTGCCCAGACAGGGGCCACGGGGAGGGGCTGGTACCTGCAGGATGCCGGGGGAGCCCTGCCGCCCCAACGTGCCCAAGATGAGGCCCCAGCAGCGGGCACCGGCAGCGGTGCGGATGGCGTCCTGCCGAGCGCGGCGCATGGACTCGTGGCCGTAGTGCTCCTGGGAGAAGACCTTGCTGTAGGGATCATACCTGCAAAGCAGAGGCAGGCTCACACACACCCCATCACCTGCCCACTGCCCCCTTAAATGATGCCCCTCCCTCATTAGTACTAATTGCCTCCCACAGCATCTCTTCCCTCCAGCCAATGCAGGGCCCAGGTGGCTCCTCAGGGGACACAGAGGGGACAAGGACGGGGATAAGGTGGCCATCCTACTTCAGCCCCCCAACACTCGGACAGGGAGGGGACAAGGACGGGGATAAGGTGGGCATCCCACAGCAGCCCCCCAACAGCCGGCACAGCCTGGGCTGTGTTCTAAGCTCCGGGCTCGGCTCCCCTCTGTCCCGGCTCATCAATTATGAAGAAATCTTTGATTTGTTGCTTTGTTTGACGAGGAGAATTTTAATCAAATCCCGCTCGGGTTTCGGCAGCTTCCCCAGCACCATAAACCTGACGTGCGCCTCCCGTTAGTAACAAACGACCTACTAAGAAATTCAGATTTCGCCAAATGGGCCCAGCCTTTTGCTCTTGATATTTCATCTGCTTTCAGCAGCCTCATCATCGCGCTTTATGGCCTCTGCCTGCAGCAGCCGGGCTTTAATGGCTGCACCTCCATGAGCTTTCACAGGTACTTGTCAAAATGTTTATATTCAGCCG